TAGTTACGACATAGACCGTATGGCTTGCAAAGCCTCAAATATTTACTATCTGGACCTTTACAGGAAATGCCTGCTGGATTAGAAGATAAGGCATAGGATTTTACACCCACCTATCCCATCCTCTGAAAAGAAAATTAAAAACCTGGGCTAAATAACAGTGATGTTTATATATTAGACCAGTCCGGTTGCCTACTTTAATACGTAAATAACAATTGTGGTCCCACAGGAAAAGTCTTAATGATTCAATTTTTATAATTTAGTGAACAAAATAAATGCACTAGCAGGAACATAACTCAGCATGCACAAGCCTATGTGTCAAACACTTGCACTAATATCATGCACAAAGTCCTGCTCTGCAGAGTCATATGCTATGTTATGCAACAGTTCTTTATAACATTTTACTCTGTTAAAGTCTTTGTTCTTTGAGGGCAAGAAATGGACCTACGCTTAGTTTTTTGGAACACTGCAGGTGCTTTGCAAATATTAGTTGAATAAATGAAGAATAAGTAGAGCAAAGTCTCTAAGAACTTATTACAGAGAAAAATAATCCATTAATTCATTTAAAGAAAGCACTTTTATAGTCATATAAATGCATGGTACTTGAGCAAAGAAATGAAACTGATTTTCATGTGTGGCTTGTGGGAACACAACAGTGTGTCAGGTCTTTTATAATAAATACAATTTAATGGCTAATTTTTGCTAATTGGAGGTACCAATGGACTTGATTTTTAATTAAAAGATGGAAATTATTTGTAATTAGTGTATGGTATCTATGAAAACAAATATTGCTTAGAGCTTGAAAGGTGGTCTTATTCTTGTTTTTTGTAGTAGCTAAGATACTCTGCCTTTCCCTCCTTCGGATGATAGAGGATAGTTTTACACAGTGATTCTCACATAAGAAGCAGCAGCATAAAAATAGATTTCAACTAAATCTTTGCTTGGACATCACCAATTCCAAATTAATGAGGATTTCTAGTGCAAACTTATATTACTCAAACAAAAACAATGTGAGAACTGCATTGCTGTTTATAACAGCGAAATTTGTCTTAATTGCACCAAGTGCCACAGTGAAGAACTTTATTCTTAGAGCACAACTCCATGGCTCGAAATCCAACACTTAAAAAAACTTCTTATTTGACCAGTATATTGTGATTTATGCAAACTTTTTCTGTGAAATCTCATCATGAAGGTGTACTGATATCACTTAACTATTTAAGCCTGTTTCAGCTGATGCGTAAAAGGTTAGAGCAAAGAATGAAAATATGCTCCACAGGTTCTACAGGTTCTATTCAGTATTTTTGGGGTTCCGTTTTTCATTTTCTTCTTTTTTTTTTTTTTCAAACCTAGGTTCAAGTTCTGAACTCAAAGCTTTTTAGAAAAAGAGGATACATTTTGATTCTACTTTAGTTATCTGGTGATAGTAGACTTTTGCTTCATTTCATGTGGATATCATTCAAGGAAAGTAAGCTCAAAACAACAGATACAAAAATCTGGCTACAAATTATCTTCAGTTTTCATGTGTGTTTCAGAAAATCCAACCATGTATAGAAAATGATATTTTACTATGCCTTTACATATTTTTATCACTAACATCTGCTTAAAAGAGGATCTTCTAAGGAGGTAGAGTTGTTATGGAAAAGAAACACTAAAAAGAGAGTAGATTCCTGATTTGGTGTGAAAATGTAGGGGGTAGTTTCAGCTTTCAGTCTTCTCTCCTAGAAATGAGCTGGGTAAGGCATAGCAGAAATAGAGGCAAGGAGAGGTAACTCCAGGGAAATATATCAGAGATGCTTCTGTTTCCCAAACTTCCTTCTTTCTTTTGAACATCACCACTTTTGCTTTAACTCTTTCTTCCCAGATTATTACATTTTATAAGACTTACTCATTGTTGAAGCTTAAATACTTACCTCAAACTCTTCCTAAGTAAAATACTATTGAGCCATGTATAATTTATTAATGGCAAAGAACACACAAAACAATACAAAACTAAAATATGCAAAAAATAACTCCACTTAATTTGTCGCTTCTTATGTTCACATTAATTAACCCCCTTAACTTCTGTCACTTTCACCTCAAATCCACTGTGGCCACCTGCTCCCACGATTCGAACTTTGCCCAGAAATCGTTTATTATTTTAATACCTGCATGTACATCTCATTGAAACTGCTAATCTCTGTATTTCGTTTTCTACCTCTCATCCACCACTACCTTATTTTTCCTTCCTTCTTTATTCTTCCTTAACCCCAGTTTGCCACTCAACTACTTCCTTGCCAATATCATCATTGTACACTCTTTTTTTCCTCACTTCACCTAGTAAATACTTAACCCTGCATTAATTCACCTGTCTGCCTTCTTGACTATTGAACACGACCATAGAAAATGAAACAGCCTCATAGATTAATCACACAAAGAAATAGTCCATAGCCTCAAACAAAACCCCGCTACCACCCCTTAAAATTCTATGGATTGTTAGTTGGCCTTCTCAGGCCATAGTTTTCCAAATCTCTGTTCTCCTTATATTCTTACTAAGTGCCATCTCTCTCCCACTCTCAGAAGATGATATCACCTAATATTACACAGAAAAACAGTATTTGTCTTCCTGAAGATTTCAAATATTCTAGATTCTTGATTCTCTGTTCTTCATGCATTTATCACAAATAACAACACAAATAAATGATGTTATTAATGTTACAATGGTTTTATATTGTGCCATAATATTTTAATCAGGGGTCTATTTTCTGTTCATCTCTTTATCCCCAGCACTTGAGTGTACTGCCTAGCGCTCAGAAGTTATTCAATAAATGTTGAAATATTGATTGAATGAAATTGAGTTATGTCTCTGTAAATTATCAAGCAGATATCTGAACTTCAATAAATTAAAGCAATGTAGTTAGATCCTACACTGGCAAAGAATTGATTATTTGTGTTGTCCAATATTGGCATATTGGAAGATATGGGAAGGAGATATTACAATACTGTTTCACTTTCCTGATGTGGCCAATGGTTGGGAAAAAGATACTCAATTTCTCAAAAGTCACTGAAGTTGTCCTACTAGCCAATTAACAAGCATTTTAGGAAGGCAAGTCTATTTCTATTTAGATGTAGACCAAAGAAGTCTGTGAAACTTATGTCAAACTACCACTTAAATCTTATAAGGGGAAAGTAACTGTGAAATCTCCCATAATGTTATTTTTCATATTAGCTTTATATTAGTCCCTTCCTTTGTACTCCACTACTGAGATCCTGGGATGATTTTTTGTTATATACAATATATCATGCATAACCTTTTTAACTGCTCCATGTGATTTTTATGTCTTCTTGCTCAAGACCACATAAAACTTTCAGATTAAAGTTTTTTAAAGCACTGTTTTTATCAAGTCATTTATCTGATCTAGAACTTTCAGTGGCCCTGTGGATGCCATCAGGTGAGAACTCCTGAGCGTAGATTTTCAGCCGGATCTTCTGCCTCAATTGACTTTTAGAGCCTGACCTATGACTCATACCTGATAAGTACTTTTAATGATTTGCTTGCTTTTTCCATTATGTTCTTGAAAGTAAAATCAGGAAACAAACCTAGTTGAAGGTAAATTTTAGTTTCTGTCTTTTACTTTTATGAATATTGTTAAGTTATCAAGAGTAGATCTCTCTTGTTAAGCAAAAATACCATGTATGAAACAAAATCTCTTCCCTGGGCCTCTAAATCCTCAATGAAATCAGTATGTTAAGATATGACAGGACATACACTTTGGGGAAAAAAAAACTAAGTGATATTTTCATGAGTGGCAATTTATTATAGAGACTCTGAAGAAGACCAAAGTGACTCATAGCCAAAAGCTAACTTATTTTTCCTCAATGGGACATTATTAATTGAAGTTTCAAGATGAGTATTCAGCCATGACCATAACTAAACAAGGCTATAAGAAATTAAAACATAATTACCCTTCAGATGCTGGGTCAAGCAAACAAGTGGTCAAAAGCAAGACATCCCCTGCTTGAAATTTACCATCAGGTTGCCAGATCAATGGCTCTGTGGGCTCTTTCAGGCTATTTCTAAACTTTGTTTCTTGTTCTGTCTTTCCAATGCATTTTTGGCTCTGAAGTTTATGACCTTGCTGTCTGACATGGCAAAGAATCAAAGAATTCATCCTCTTCAGATTGCCAGTATTTTATTTAATTAAAAAGTTAACAAAAATAAAAAAAATTGTGCCCATTTTTCTCTTCGCAAGCAACCAAAATTCAAAATTAAAATTAAAGCCCAAGAAGATCTGTGCAATTCAGAGTAAAAATCCACCTCTTTACACAGACATATCCTATTACGGACTGTACTACTGAATTTTATGAAACAACTTAAATATTGCTAAAACCCTCAAGATACTAACATATTTTCAAATCAACCTCTGCCACTTTGTTGTACAAATGGAATAATGGCAGTTTTTCTTTCAATATCCAAAAGAATCACTTTAGGAACGAATTTGAAGTTTTGATTCATTCAACAAACAATTATATCAAGCACCTACTATGTGTCAGACCTTATGCAGGGTGCTGAGCAAGCAAATGGGATGATTTTCCAATTTAGAAGAATTCTGGTCTCTAAAGCAGTGCTTCTCAAACTATTTTTTATTAATCTGTGCCCTCTTTTGCTAAACATAAAATTATTTTCCCACTTTTCAGGAATTTGATGACCGTGTCTAATACTGAGAATCATTGATACACAGAACACAGATTCTATCTTCTGTGTATCCTTGACACACAAAATGGCTTTGAGTTTTTACTTTCTATTTAAAATGCAACATATTTATTTTCCAGACATATAACTGAATTGTAATATTAAGTATATGTTTCTGAACTACATATGCCCCCTTCCAAACTGGAATTCAAATTTCCTGCACCCACCTCTGTTGAGAATCACTGCTTTAAAGAGTTTGAAAAAAAAAAAAAAAACCAGGCAACCTCCATCTCTCCCCTCCAATCCAGTCTTAAAGGAATTAGAATTTTCCTACCTGACACAACAGCTGGTGGAGTATCATAATCCTGTCTTGGGATTGAATCTTTGAATGAAAAGAGCATGAGAAAGAATGCAATGAAGTACAAAAGAAAATAAAATAGAATCAGTCCTAACACGTGGAAGAGCCCGCTGTGTGTCATACGGTTGCCTGACCCCTCTGCCTTCCAGCAGTAAAGGCATTATGATTCCTCATTTGCATTCTATACCATGGTTCCTATTACCACCACAGTGTACATGTTATTAGGTCCCGTTAGACTTGCTGGGACTCTACGGTTTGTTCTGAAACACTGTCATCTTCCACAGTCTGTTTGGTACCTCCCTTAGGGAATCAATGTAAAATTTTTACCCTCTCTGGCTGACAAAAGAGTTCTACATGGCAGCCCATCTACAGGGGGCCGAGAGCATGATACGAAACAAGGTTCTAGAGAACAAAAGAAAGAACTAAAATTTAAAAGAGAAAAATAAAAAATTTGTACATTCTCATACTCTGTGAAGGCTAACACATTTTGAAGGCAAAATTTCATTACTTATTACTCAGCTCCAACTCTGATCCCAGGGGTTGTCGGTGAGGCAGAGCGGAGGGTGTTTTCACCTCAAGGCCAAAAAGCTTTATGTGTTGTAACTGTGGAAGCAGAGATACACAGAACAGAATCTATTGAACGTGATGGTTATCTTTATCCCAAGTCTCCTAGCACTGAAGGTGTCAAATTCCAGATAAAGCTTAATTAAACAACATAGCAATCATTTTAAAATTAGGAGTTTTATAGGACAAAATAGATCTGCTTTTTTAAAGATGGAAAAGAGCTTTTAGCTCACTGAAATTTCTTTAGCTAGGCATCTTAAAAAGGAGATTGGGATACGGCGTAGGTCTAAGGTCCTCCTTCTAAAAATGGAAAATTCTAGTTTTTCCCCCACTCCCCTTGGAGGGGTAAACTCTAAAAGAAACTTGATATTGTTTAGATTGAAAGCAACTGCCAACACATGGTCAAATAGATGCTCTTGTGTGACTCTTACTCCATGTATACAACCTTTATTAAAAACAAAAATCCCAAATTTTCTTTTTCCACCCATGTGACAACTTTTGGACTATCCCATATTTCTCACTTTCATCTCCTTGCCACAAAAGGTCAGTGTTAATCACCCTCTCCTGAGTAAACGGCATGTGAGAAGACAGATTCGAACTTGAACATTGCAAGGCACTTGGAGCAACAAAAGCAAACAGGATCAAAAGATTCATATGCAAATAAACCAGACACATGAGTTATTTTGTTTCTTGCAACAGGTACCTGAACTACTGAGTTGATTATAATTCCCAATTCTAGAACAATTAGAATCATTTTTAAAGTGTTTCCAAATTTTTAAAATAATGGCAATTCCTAGTACCTTTTGAAAAATTGCAATCACACATCAATTACCACTTCAAACCAAAAAAAAAAAAAAAAAAAAAAAAAAAAAAGAGTTAATTATTGGACCATGCTACTAGTCATTTTCCAAGAATATACTTATGACATTTTAAAGTAAATGATAAAAGCCAATAATGTTTATTGCTGAATAGTTGGAAAAGGTAGAAAAGCATAATGATTTAAAAAATGACTCCTAATCCCATCATCTGGAAATAGCCACATTTGTTTTTACATTTCTCTATAGCCTTATAATACATTTTTATAGGTGATATTGAGCTCCACACGTACAAAATTACATCGTTCCTTCCTTCCTTTTTTCTTTCTTTCTATAGACTGGGTTTCACTCCATTGTTCAGGCTCAAGGGCAGGGGCACAATCATAGCTCACTGTAACCTCAAAGTCCTGGGCTTAATTGATCTTCCTGCTTCCTTCTCCTCAGTAGTTGGACTGCAGGGCACACAATAATGCCTAGCTAATTTTTATTTTTTGTTAGTGTGATGGGGTCTTGCTGTGTTATCCACACTGGTCTCCAGCTCCTGACCTCAAGCAATCCTCCTGCCTAAGCTTCCCAAAGTGATGTGATAATACGCAGGAACCACCATAACCTTCCAAGTTTTTAAAATTTGACATTATAAAAAAAACATTTTCCTAGCTATTTATGATTTCATGCTACGTTACATTCTGGTTTATGGATGGATTATAATATATTTAATTCTTCTTCTTTGTTAGACATTATAAAGAACACCGAATCAAATATTTTTGAGGTATAATGACTTTTCTGTTGTTTTAGACTATTTCCAAAGAAGCTTCTCAAAACTGTAAGTGCTTGGTCAGTCAGTATAAATGTTTTGAAGTATCTTGATTGACTACCTTTCAATCCAACTGATATTTATACAAATTTAGATTCCTATCATGAAGCAATCAGTGCTAGAGAATGCTTATTTTCCTACACCTTCATTAGCAATTTGTACTATATTTTGATAACTTTATTTGATGGGATACATCTGGTGTGTATTTGATTAAATTACTGTTTCTATTTCTTTAATTACAATTTTTGCACATGTTCTTTAGCCTTCTATTTACTGTTTTATCAACTATCTGTTCATGTTTTTTCACTATGTTGGTAATTTATGTAAACTCAGATTTTTTTTCATTTTTTTTGAGACAGAGTCTCCCTCTGTTGCCCAGGCTGGAGGGCAGTGGCACCATCTCAGCTCACTGCAACCTCTGCCTCCCCGGTTCAAGTGATTCTCCTGCCTCAGCCTCCCAAGTAGTTGGGATTACAGAGCCCCACCACCATGCCTGGCTAATTTTTGTATTTTTAGGAGAGACGAAGTTCTACCATGTTAGCCAGGCTGGTCTCAAACTTCTGACCTCATGATCCACCCAGCTTGGCCTCCCAAAGTGCTGGGATTACAGGCATGAGCTACCATACCTGGCCCTCAGAATTCATTTTTTTTAAACAGCAAAAGTGTAATATTTACAAATACATACTCATACCACTAGACTTAATGCCAGCTCATTTATTATGTATAAGACTCCCTCGGAAGGTCTTTCATTTTACAATAAGACTAAATCAATTTTTTAAAACTATTATCTTTTTAGATATATTTTCTCTTTTGTATTTGAGTGTTTTAAACTGATTAATCTTTTTTCCTAAAATTTTAAGAGACGTACTCATTACCGTTTATGATACTGCTTCCTGAATCAGAGTCCATTTAACATCCTGTTAGCTTTTTAAAACTCTATCTTAATATTTATATTCATACCTAATAACAGAAAAAAATCACAATGTCTAAACAAAGTGAATAATTGAGGATTTTCACCTGATATTATCAAAATTTTGGAGCAGTCAAGGAGTGGTGTGGCTGAAAAACACTAGAGAACTGTGGGGAATAAATGGAGTACAATTACAAGGTTATTTTTGTGAGTGACTATGGTTACACTGTGGGAATTCGATGATATCACAAATCACCAGTGGCATGGAGAACACAAATCAAACTGCAGACACAAAGCCTGCAGAACAAAAACTTTTTATTTCTTCCAACAGATTCTGGTGACATTGTAAGCCACTGGTGACCAGCAACTGAACAAACGAAAAGGAGATAAGAAACTTGTAAAACAAGATTGTCATGCAATTTGGAGGTTCTCAGAACACAGTAAAATCTCCAGTGGTTTCTGCTAAAGCTTACAATAAAGTGATAAGACGTTATGGATAATGGGGCTTTGGTTCCATCAAGGGAATACTGTGAAAAAAAAAATAAACAAACGTAGAAAAGCTAGGAAAATCCTTCAGGGTCAGCAGAGCCCTGAAATAAAACAGTTACACTGCTTGCATAAAATGCATTTTTTTTTTTTTGAGGCCTGCAGATTCTGTCTAGCTTAAAAATAGAGAATTGAACAATAAACATTTGAGGTGGCAAACTGTAGAGAAAGGTTAATTAAACTACATGGCATTCATTTCAAAATTTGAGGTCATGGGAGACAAATATATCTGCTTTTATGTAAAGGAAAAGGAGGTTTTGGCCTAGTACAATTCCTTTAGCCAGGGACTTTAAAAAGAAGAGTGGGACTAAGCCTGTGGCCAAGATCCCCCTTCTAAAAATAGAAAATTCTAATATAGCTCCAACTTCCATCAGCCCTGATCACTTCCTTCTCTGGATTATTCACTGGATCTCTCTCTCCTCTGCCCTTGGAACCCATCTGTTTCTAGAGCTTAGGTTTCTATATTAATCTTTACTTGTCACTGTTCACACCTTGTTTTGCAGAATTTCTGTGAGCTCAGGTGTCTGAAAGCATCTGAAATGTTTTAGTTAGGAGAGAGACACAGTCAGATAATTTTAGATTGACTACCTGTGACAACAGGGTAGAGAAAATGGATTGGAGCAAATTGACGTTGAAAGCAGGAAGAACAATTAGGGAACTGTTACAATTAATCAAATGAGTTCCAGGGAAGAAACTCTAGAAATGCGGAAGAAAGAATGTATTTCACCAATGTCTATGAGACAAAATCAGTGGGACTTGAAACGTAATTGTGTATGATGGTGAGGGGGAAAGAGAGGGTCTAGATTGGGTCCTAGATGTATGGCTTGGCTACAGGGCAAAGGGTCGTGGCATTAGCTTGAAAGGAAACAGGGAGAAGAAACATACAAGAGAAAGAGGTTTCAGTTTGGAGGAAGCTCTGGAAAGCTCATGAGATTCGTTTGGGTCATGCTGACTTTGAGGTGTCTGAGGGAGATGTACATGGAGATACTTAGCAAGTAGTTAGATACATGAGTCTAAAGTTCTTAGATGAGGTTAGCACTGGGGACTGAGATTTAGGAGCCAACAGGGAAGCCAGCATTTAAAATCATGAGAGTGAATGAGATTGCTTAGGAAAATCATACAGAATAAGTATGTTAAAAATGAAGCATTGGCTTACCAATCTGTGCAGGAAGAGAAGGAATGGCTAGAGAGGTGTGAGGAGAACCAGAAAAACCTCCGGCAGGAGTCACAAAATGGGAGTTCTTGGGACAAACTGGGTCCAATATTTAAATATAGAGAAATTTCCAGTCAAAGCTCAAGACTTCAGCTCATCTTTAAAAGTTAGAAAGTGAGACCACCCTGGGTCCGCATGTCCATGTGGCAATAGCCGTCAGAATAGCTGTACTAATACAGCAGTGGCTGTCTTTTTCCGACAAGGCATCCATATTTCAGGCTGCCAAAGACACCACCTCGCACTTCTATTTGCCCAAAACTCAAGCAGAGATAGTATTACTATCGCATGGAAAATACATCTTCTCTAAAATATAATCTCCAACATCATATATGTTTATATGGCATGACTATGTTTTGTGATATAGGCAGATATTTAAAAATTGATTATATGTTTCCAAGGGTTGCTGCTTGAACTTGTTCTACTTCATTCATTAATATAACCTGGCTGGACTCTACAGGCTTTTGAGTTTGCTGCCCTAAAAGAGTATGTTAGCAGCCAAATAAATGGAGACAGTAAGTGAGCTATGCCCTGGACTTTACAGTGTGCTACATCACTTCTGGGTACCTAAACCAGATTCCCACCAGTTCGAAGCTACTGCAGGTAAAGGGTGTGAGCAGCTCATTTGAGAAGCACAGAGTGGGTATCACACTGTGTAAGCATGCTGCATGCTATCATTTCATTAACGCTCACAACGTCTCTGGGATGCAAGCATTATTTTTCCCATTTTGTAAAACGAGAAAGCAAAAGTCCTGAGAGGTTAAGTAACCTGCCTAAACATGCGGAACTATCAAGGAGCAAAGCCACATTTTGAACTCAAGTTTGAAAACAAAGCCGACTGATCTTTCCGTTATGCCAGGATTCCACCCCATCAGTGAAAATGTTGGAAAGATGGAATAAGGTGGAAAAATCGGATTTAAAAAATCAAACTCAACTGGATCATAGCCGCTCCAAATGCCAATCAAAATTCAGATAAAATGAATCTATGAGAGCATATCAAAGAATAAGAGTGACAGTCTAAGATAAAAAATATAACAGTATTCTGGACACCAACCACACTTAATTATATTTTGTTAAATGAATCAACAAAGTAATTCTATTTTCTCTTTACCACTTCAGAATCTTACTAAATTTTACACTTTTCCATAACATCGGGTAACACAAATATTATAATGTATCTAAGCATTATTTAGTACGAATGTAAACGGAGAAAATTTGGTTTTAATAATAAACCACATGCTTAAAACTTTTACTCTCCGAGAGAGTGTTATATGTTATTATTGAACTATTTGGCTATTACCAGCTACCTAAAAGTCATGGTCCCTTACAAATGTGTTCTTGTTGAAATGCTCAAATAAAAAAATCATAATATATGTTACTGAATCAATAATTATTATAATTCTGTCTGTTCTATATCTTTTAGCTTATTTTTTATTTTCCTAAAGGATTCAGTCATATGCTTAGTTAACTAGCTCTTATATTTTTACTAGTTTGCAAACTTAAATTTTAGCCAAGTCAGTTGGCTTTACTTTTGAACCAAATGAGTAAAACTTATAAAGAGTTTCTATGTTTTGCATTATAATTCTCTCTTTAATCAGATTCCAGATTGTCATTCAATACAGGAAACTTGCATTACTTCACTCATTCAGAATTTATGATCACTGAAGGAGACAAAGGCTGATATGGAGGAAAATCTACAATGTATTAATAAGAAACTACAGGCCTTCTGATACTATTCTTAGGACCTGCTTATTAGTAATGCACAAAATAATGACAAATAATCCTTACACTTTGCTAAAAGCAATAAAATGGTATCTTCAAACTCTATCTCCATGATGAAAATTAGCTATACCACAGCATATAGTTAAGTATATCTTAGACACAACTTCTAAAAGTATAGGTCAGAAACCTAAGAGATCATTTGATGTAGCCCAAGCATTCAGACAGGTTAAGATATCATCAACTGCTTTTTATAGGTTCTACAACTGAGATCTTAGTGATAGGCACTTTGTTTATGTTAATAAAACTAAAATTTCTTTATTGAAAGAATGCAGCTCTTTCCATTAAATTATATTGACTTTCTTCCTATTTAGTACAGGTAAGTGAAGGCTCAGTAGACACGTCAGAAACTTCTTATATTCTTAAAAGCCTATGAGTCTACAAGATTTATTTGGCAAGCAAGCCATTGCTATAGGGTAAAATTCCAGATAGACAGCTAGTGTGCATATTGTATATTGATATTTTGAGATGAAGTCAGCATAACTGAAGAATCACAGAGGTGGTGACTGTAAGACATATAAGCTTAAACATATGGAATTGAAACTTAAAGGGCCTCATATATAATCAAGTTCAATATTTCAACTAGATAGAGAAAAAAATTCAGACTAGATTTATTATTTTCTCCAAAACGGAAAGAAACAACAGGGTTTACTAAGCTTTCAATCTAGGATTTCTGACTCCTAGCCCGGTGCTCTTTCTACAATATTTAAGCTGCCTCAGTCAAAAGAAAATACATTTCTTATTTCTATATTTATTCAAATGACAAGATTATCTGCATTAACATGAAAATAAAACTGAAGGTGTTATATAAGTGGTTAGGTTTCCTGGTTTCATTGTTCTCTATAATGGCAAATAACAGACTTTCAGTACTGTTAATTCTATCAGACTTTTGCCTCCTTGAACATTTGGGGAATTATCTTGTAAAAAAACCAAACATAAAGTTTTTCCAATGATTTAAAGTGCCTCATTAATATAAAATCCAGGCTGCAATAGGTATTTTTCAACACGCTTTTGTTCTCTAAGAAGAAAGATGACTAATCAAAACCATCCCAACCTATAAGAAAAGATCAAGCACATTAGATTTCCTTCCTTCTTTTTAACATCCATCTATATCAGTTTATCAAAAAGAAGGAGGATTAAAAGAACTTGATTATACCAGGTTCTCAATTACTCTTTATTGATTTAATAGTATCAGTCATAGATTTGGCCCCTCGCTTGTATATAACCTGATAATAAATAATGCAGTGGCTGAACTGGTAAGCAGCTGGGAAAAGAAAACCAGGGTTGAGTTTATTAAGTCACAGGGTCTCGATCTGCAGGTGCATGTAAAAGGACACCTTTCCAAAATCAGGCATCATATCTGGTACGTTGTACCATAAAATCAAGAAGTGACTGAAATTTAAACGTGACATAAGAGAATTTTAGCCTGGCCAATGTGAGTACTTGTGCCCTGGAATTGAGCATACATGCAGAATGCAGCTTATTCATACTGAAACCTGAAAGGTGTGTTAGTCAATGAATATGGTACAGACGTAGTTTCACTGATAATGACAGTGAAAATGGAGAGTATTACAACTTTATCAAAAAAGTTCGAGGAAGCAAAACAATCTCTCCAACTCACCGTTCCTGTTGTGCCCAACGAAAGGTGATTCATCTGCTGTGTCAGGGGGCCCATCATGTTGGCTGGCTGCATTGACATGGGATGGTCCATGGTTGGTGTAATCACAGCACCCTACAAGTATATACAATGTCCATTTGAAAATGTATCCTACAAGGAAGGAGACTTCTTACAAATAAACACAGTAAACTCTGTGAACATCAAATGTTTTTACTTTTTCACTAAAAAGGCGAAATTCAACTGTATATAATCTGTATGTCCATGCATGTCATTTTGTGCTTGTCTAAATAGACGGCATTAACAACTTCCTCTCTTCTGCGGTATTTAGCTGTGATGTGTCTAAAATATCTGTCACTTAACATTTTTACCACTTGAGTTAGAATCCATTCAAAGAAATCATATATATCCTCTTGCCCATTGTTCTAAATACAAACTTTTCTGACTGAAAGATATGAAATATTAGTGGAAATTCTCTAATTTTCTTGTTATTGGATAAGACTTGGTTTATGTCGTTTATCTATAATTTTTAATATATAGATAATTCTTGGTCACTCCAATACAATCTTCCACTAAGGAGGGTAATCCTGGCCCACATGGGTTTCTAAACTGAATCCCTTTGAAGGACATATTAATATCTACCACTGGTCATCTCAAAATCAAAATTATGATTTCCCATTTGTTTTCCTCCTACCCTTTTGACCTGTTTTCTATGTATATTTTAGACACAAGACAGAAGAATACCAATCTCTGTTAAAAGCTGGTCAAATTTTTATGTCCATCCACAATTTTTTTTAAAAGCAAAAGTGTTAAGTTTCAAATCAGATGTTAAGGAAGGTGGACTTCTAGAGTAAGTTTTTTTTTTATTTTTTTCATTGTTGGGGATAAAAGAAATAACAGACATTTTTTAAAACTTCTATCCATATGCAAACTATCATATGGTGAGTGAAGAATGGAGCTAAGTCGTTGAATCCTTCCATTCCTCTTTTTCTACCCTTTCACTTTCCTTGCGGTAATTAACTTGGAGAATGAAAAAATATTTTTAAAAATCAAACTCAAAAAGCTAGAATTGGATGGAATCTTCAAGATTATATAATTTCAATGTTCATTTAAAGATTATGATAAAGTCGAAATACGTTCTATAACAATGCATTTAAATAACCAGTTATGATAAAATGATTATGTTTCTGAATATATTATTTCCCAAAACATTATTTTGCTCGCTGGACACATGCATGTAGACAGTCAGATCTCAGCACTCAAACTACCCACAAGCAAGTGTTTCCTAAAATGCTTTTGCTCAAACTAAGCAATTCCTCCTGGTATTGTAAAATTAAACTTCCTGACTCTCTGTGAAAAAGATCAGACTACTACTCAGCCTTCCCTATGGGCTCCTTCCCATTAATTTTTAGGGATAATACAAATTGAGCCAAACATTTGGAAACGCTTGGTATACAGGGCCAGCTTTGTTCACAAAGACATTTAGACTTTTGAGCAGGAATCAATCAGAAAACATATATGTTATTTTAAAGGTCTATAGCTTGTAAATATACACAAGGGTGCATTTGTGGTGTTTGAATTTCTCGATGCTTCTGTGAATTGTCACTAATCAGGATGCCTCTTAAATGAGAAACACGGTAAGATAAGGTTTTACTTAATTATAATTCAGAGATACATCGCTTTTCTTTCTGCCGCCTGAATCTTTTTGACAAAAGTATCTTTGTTTTCCTTTTTAAAAAAATACTTACTAGCCTTCATTTCAGATATTTGTTGTGCCAGACCAGAAGTAAACACTTTAAGAAGAACTAGGGGGGTTCTTAAATCACCTAGGGATAAATTCTAGAATAACCTCAGAGTTAAGATGGAAGTCCTGAAGCATTTTTTTTTTCAACCAAAAAGTGGCACTTTGACAACATTCTAATGCTTAGCAGGTGCAAGACTCAAGTCCCTTCTTGAACTCAAGACAAGTCATCTTTTTAGAATATTTGTCCCTAGACATTCCAACATGCAGCTAAACTGTCACAATCCCAGAAACTCCTGGATTCTTAACAGCTTGCTCTAGCCACAAAAAGGATCATTCATGTAAATCAGAGATAAAAAACAAATTGTGTTTGGTCAGGATACTTTCTTCTTAATGCCCTAGAGGTTGTCTCATTCTCAGGGGTGTGTGGGACAGACTTTAGTCTTTTTTATAAAGGCAATATGCAAATGAGGTAGGTGAGCATGTTACAGAAAAATCAAAATTCATGCATGATAAGAAGAGAAGGATTTAATGCCTGCACTTGGAATTAATTTTGGAAGAATTGTCTGGTCTCTTTGAGAATCTTTTCATTGAAAGCAGTGTTTGGGGACTCATTTGATTACAGATGTCACAGAGTGAATGCTGCTTCTGTGTATAAAGCCGAAACCTGACAATCAAAAGGAAGAGTAAGAAGGGATTTGTCATTATTTGGAATTATAAATAGCAACACTAGGCACAGAGTGGAAAATAATGTAAGAGACCAGTTATTGCACAAAAATGAACAGCTCTTTTTAAGCAGACCAGTATTGCACATCAATGAACAGTTCATTCTAAACAGATCGGTTACTGCACACAAATGAACAATAAAATAAAGATTCTTGGGGGAAAATATGTAAGAATCTACATCCTTGTTCACATTCAATAAAAATGTTCAGTGAAAAAAATTCCCACAAATTTTTAAGAACACCAATTTTTTAATCTTAAGGGAACAGAAGAAATGTACAGTCAGGGAGTAAACTGGAAATAAACTAACAGGAATCCCCTGGGAGAAATGAATTTTCCTAATGATACTTTATCTGGGACAGACAACTTAGAGAGATTTAGTATTGGTTACCCACAGCAAAGGGGGGCGTTTGCCAGCCACGTTGCTTATTAAAAACTACAGAATCTCTTCTGTATTTTGTATGAAACAAATAAATACAAAAAAAAAAAAAAGAAAATCTTATGGTTAGTAAGGCAAAGCCAGTACCCGCAACAATAACTTTGCCTTATTTTAAATACACTGTGAAATCCACTCCAACGCAATACATTTAAGCCATAGGCGGAGGAGCGTTTGTGACAGACGTTGCCAACACATTAAGCGTAATTTTGTTTACTTGAGATGTATAGGATGTGGTGTCTGACAGAGTTCACTTGGCAAGTGGCAAACAAAGGAGAAACAGATTTTTCATTTTAGCATCTCTGGATGTCTGAGTTTGCTCAGTGTTTAAGCTACAAAGAAAAATATTGTACAATGCTATAATTCCCTTAAAAAACACAATGACTAAACAGCTGATGGAAACGTCTGGTCCTTTTTAGCCACTGCCTTTGCAAAACAAAGCTGCTCCTACTCAAGAGGCAAAGGGTGGATCTGGTTGCCTAGTTCTGAAATAAACAATTGCAACAGTAATTTGGGTAAAGTTTCCAAAGATCCTCATGTGTGGAGTAAATATATCTGACCTAAAGCCAGAAAACCATCTGTATTGTGAACCTTCTGCCAATATTTGAAACAAATTTGAAGCCTTTCAAAGTTCATCAATATTTTAATTTCACAACTGAAATACAAAACCACTGGCAAATCAAGGAAAAACACATGTAGCCTCTCTTCTATCTAGAGCACACATAGCTGGCTTAGCACCTATATTAATCCCAGGTGAACCGCAATGAGAAGAATTAGCTGCATTAATATTCCTGTGATAGTATTCTAGGTCAGTGCCATCCAGCCTATGACTTGTGGACCACCAGCAGCAGCAGTAGACAAAAATTAGACTCTCTGGGAGTCAGACGTTGAAATCTGTGTTTTAAAACAAGCTCTCCAGGTGATTCTGATATACCCTAAAGTTTAAGAAGTATGCCCTTTCTAAAAACTGCAGCTGTATAAAGCCAGTGTTACAGTTCCTACAGGCAAAGTGGCTTTATTTATGCTGTTTCTCAATTATTTGTTTGAATCCAGTCTTTTTACAGTACATGGTCTTTTATGTGATAATCACATTATATCTTATTAAAAACATTCCAAGGGGCTAAGCCTGCATTTTTGATGGGCTGACCTAGGTATATTATTTGAATAATCACACCTAAGTGTGAGGACCTGACATGCTTCCATTTGATCAGTTTGGGCTGTATTATAACATATTAAGAATGCTTCCTATTTGGAATCTTAGTAACCTTGTATTTGAACTCATAGAAATGCAAAAGTAAAAATAAAATTATTTGGATAAGTGAAAATAAAGAAAAAACAGATTGCACCCTCTTTTTTTCTCTTGTCTTATCTAAATGGCTCAAGTCAAAATGTCTGTGATTTGCATTATACTGTTCCCTATAGTGATTCACACAAAACTACATATGAATGTTTTAAATAGGTGGTTTTAAGCCTCTATTTCATTATTCTTTTATTCATCTGTCTGATTTTTTTGCCCCTGCCAGTTTTTTTTTTTTTTCTTGAGACAGAGTCTTGTTCTGTCTCCAGGCTCCAGGCTGGAGTGCAGTGGCCCGATCTCAGCTGACTGCAACATCCGCCTCCCAGGTTCAAGCAATTCTCCTGCTTCAGGCTCCCAAGGAGCTGGGACTACAGGCACGCGCCGCCATGCCCAGTTAATTTTTGTATTTTTTAGTAGAGACGGGGTTTCACCATGTTGGTCAGGATGGTCTTGATCTCATGACCTCATGATCTGCCTATCTTGGCCTCCCAAAGTGCTGGGATTACAGGCGTGAGCCACCGCTCCCGGCTGCCCCTGCCAGTTTTTAATATTCTTAGAATGAATATCTAATGCCAACAGATATCTCATAATATAAATGGCATGAAGGTAGTTTATTTAACTTAAGGAATAGCTATCCAAATGCAGTGTTCAGCAATGTTAGTGTGTACCATCCCTTATCTTGTAGTATATGTAGGGATGTCTGATTTCTTTCATTTGTGATGTCAGCGTGTTTTGTTTCGTTTTGACGACGGTTCTGGGTTTAAGAAAGGCTTCTGTGGGGGGGAAAAAAAGGAGTAAGAAATGTCCCTACTTCTCAGAAAAAATCATTAGTCTTTATCTGCCTTGATAAATTTCCAACGAATGTGGTGGTACAGTCCGACTTAAAAAAATCATGTAAAGCTATGGCAAAGGTGGTAGCC